GGACCTGAACCTGTTCAGCCTTCAAAAGAGAAGGCTGAGGGGGGATCTTGTGGCCTGTTATAAACTGGTTAGGGGGGATCAGCAGGCGCTGGGGGAGTCCCTGTTCCCCCGAGCGCCGCAAGGAGTGACCAGGAACAATGGTCACAAGCTGGCGGAGGGAAGGTTTAAGTTGGACATCAGGAGGAGCTACTTCACGGTCAGGGCGGCTAGAGTCTGGAACCAGCTTCCAAGTGAGGTGGTGCAGGCTCCCACCCTGGGGTATTTTAAGAGGAGTTTGGATGACCACCTTACTGGGGTCATTTGACCCCAGTGCTCTTCCTGCCATGGCAGGGGGTCAGACTAGATGATCTGATCAGGTCCCTTCCGACCCTAGAAACTATGAAACTATATTTGTACTATGTATGTTTGTAGTAGGTATTTTGAAGTAACTGCAAAGAAATTGTATTTGTTTTCAAACAACCAAGGATATTTTAAAAGAATGTCTAATTCAGTCTCATTCAAATCTAGGTATAATGTAGCTGGTAAGCTGAACAAAAACAGAAGTAATTAAAGGTCTATTTTACCTTTTTTATTTCTCTATTCCCCCTACTCTTTACCAGTTAAAGGTGCAGCATTAGTTGCTGGGGGAGATTTTTTCCACACTCTGATATGTGGGAGGAATGATTGAACTAAAACATTAAACGTATCTGGATTTGATGTAATTCAGGGGGGCAGGATTGTGAGATACCTGTGTGGAAAGCGTAGTAGCAAATATCAAAATGATGCTGACTTCCTGTGTGTTCATATTAAATGGGGGTACTGTTGCACACATTCCTAGTTGGGATGGGGATATTTAGAATTGTTTTGGGTCAAATTGCAGTTTAGACTGACAGAAAAGATAAATCTTGTCTGAGTAATGCTTGAATTAAAAGACTATGCATGATATGTTGAACATTATTTTTAGTGAAAATCTAGTTTTCGGAGACAATTTCTTCCAGTCTCAGCAAGCAGTGTAATACAAAGATGAGCACTTTCTAAAATATTGAATTGTTTCTCTTGGTTAGTTCCGCCAGTTGTGCAGTGTTCATCAAAATGTTGTTGTCAATGCAAATTTAAGCTTGATATGGAGGTTGAATTCCTGGCAGTCCTGTGTCAGTGGTCTCCAACCGTTGGCTTGTGGGCAGCATGCTTCTTGTAAGCCCGCTAGCATTTCTGCTAGCCACAGGAAATTTAACAAAGAAAAAATTATTAGAAAAAGCAAAGAATGGTCAGTAGGTAGGATCAGGACATGCTCAACATTGTTGCCCATAAAGCATCAAAATTGGAAGTTGCTCTCCTGTGCATTGAATAGAGACAAATCTTCCTTTTTTTTAACTAGGCAGCAAATTTTTTGAAAAGCATTTAAGTGAGGGCTGTTAGGGGTTCTTTCCTCCTCCCCGCCCCCCAGCATAGCTTAAAGTAGAAACCTCAGTATGCAAACAAATCACTTAACTTTTCCTTCTCCTCTCTAGTCTTACAGTGGTTACTAGGATAATTTTAGCAACCATGCGGAGGTTCTTGTATTGGAATCTTTTGTGCCCATGCCTTAGTTAGGATGACTTTTGCATGAATATGCAGTGTTTCAAGCATACATGAGGTTAACATGCATTTTTCTGTATTGCTACTTGATAGAGCAAGAAAATATCTGGGCAGATAAAATATTTATATGAGAATACATCCTGTTACGGGTGCGTTTTCTCTTTTTTCATATATGAAATGTCCCTATAGGTCCATATCTTTCCATATTTATTTTTAGAGGATTTTTTTCACAGTTCCATTGGCTTTTTCATTTATATTTAAACCTGTTTGTAATACTGACTTTACAGATTATTACAATGAAGTCATTTGTTTATAAGCATGGTCCAGTTTTCTTACTGTCTTTCAGTTTAAAAGGGAACACGCTTAATGGCTTTGCCCATATTGCTTGGATTTATTTTTTATTATTATTCTCCAGCTCCTACTCTTCAGGTGCCGCTATTTTAGCATTATGAAGAATGATGGATGATGTAGGAAAGTTTCTTTTGAAGCACTCCTGATATTGTGCAATGCACTTGGGGGTCAGCTGCACTTGACTGATGCATGATTTATCCGATGTCCCTGCCACTTTCTGAGATAAAGCTGCTATTTTATCAAAAATGCCAGCAACTGTGATTTAGAATTTATATACCTCCTTTTTCAAATAATTGTTCTGATTACTTTCTGGCATAGCAATAAAATGATAAAGGTAATTGCACACAAATGTGAGATAGCACCAAAATACAATAAAATTAACCTGAATTAGCTTGACTTGTCGATGAGAAGTATTTATGAAATGTATTTTTGCAATAAGGGAGACTGATATTATAGCTGGAAGGTGAGTTATTGCCTTAATGTAATACTGTTTGAAATTTAAAAAAGAGACTGTTACAGTTGAGGGTGATTGTGCTTTTGAAATTAAGTTGAAGTGATTCTCATAATTGGCAGCAATAATGCATTGTGAAGGTAATATCTTTTATTGTGTTATGCCTAGTTGCATTATCTCTTATTTAGTTGGTCCTGACTTTGGCTTTTCAGAGAACACAAGAAGAGCTGATTTGGAGTTTTGTGGATTTTGAGGATGATAAAAAACCAAACAAACAAACAAAAGGGTTACCTGGTATTAAATTCACTCCTTTTCTGTTTGATTTTCTTTTTTCATTGTTGCCCTCTAATTTGAGTAATAGTCCATTTTAGGTTCATTTGCTTCATCTAAACCCACTAAAATTTTTATTTGATTAAATTTTTATCTCTTTTCCCTGTAATACAATAGCTTCACCATATATTTACATTGATAACTGAACATAGGAACAGTGGTGTACTTAAATATTTGCTTGCTGTCTATGTATGTGTGTTCATATGCATTACAGATGGTTATTATAGTAGTTAACTTTTGTATTTCCTTAGTGTCTCAAAATATAACCTGTTCTTAAATGTAGTATTACTATACCAAACTTACTACAAATATTTTTGGTGGCATTATAGGGTAAGCTTTAAAATGTTGATTGCTTACAACATTAGTATTTTCTTTTTTAAGAGTTGTAAAACATGTGTTTTGTACACATTTAAATAAAACACCTGAGGTTTTTGCTTCCTCTACTGTAGTGGTTTCTTTTTCATTATAGTTAGATCTAGATATTATTGCTAAAAATAGATATTTAATATCTAAAAGATACTGTCAAAGCTAATTTATAAATCTCATTTTCTCATTGTTTCTTATCACTACATGAACCTTTTTTTTTCATTACCCAGTACTGAATTGCCATGCCATGTGCTAACCATTTGTTCCATATAATAGCACATTGAGACCTGTGTTATGTCAGGGATCCTAGTTTTCTCTGCTTAAAAATTGCAAATTGTCTGATAAAAACACAAATTCTCTGATTTAAAAAAAAAACCTAATTCTGAGATAAATGTTAGCATTTGATACCTATACATTTTGGTATTTGATTTTGGGTTTTTTATCATGGAAAATCAGAGCTCTCCCTGCCCCCTTTGCTTACCAGGATGCAGGTCCAGGCCCCTCACTCCCAAGCCCCAGCCCTGCTAGTGCCCCTCAATCTCCACCCATAGCCCCCCCATCCCTCCTAGCCGTGCCAGAGGGGGCCCCCAGGTGTCAGGGATGCAGGGACTAGGGTTCACAGTCCCCTGCAACAGTGCCTGAGCCCTGGCTGCCACCCATGGGAGGCAGCAGCTGCTGTGGTAGAGAGGAGCGGAACCCAGCTACCCTTCCCACACGGGCGGTATGGCTGGGGTGAAGCCTGTGGGGGGACGAGTGCAGGTTGCCTTCTGTGGGGTCGGGCTCCTCACCTTGCTGCTCTCCCTTCAAGGCCTTT